ATTTAATTCAATTATCGGTCAAGCTGGAAATTTACACGTTTTATCGGGTGTTTGAATATGTGCTCATAATAACATAAAACGCAAATGTTTGTTTATGTTTCCTTCAATCAACAGTAGAGTCTATTTTTAGCCCCAAAAAGTAAAAAATACAACTTTTCTATAAATACTCATTGTCAAAAAATTTATTTTGTTAACTGGTATGACAATTTTCGAAAGTTGCCTCGTGGAGTGCGTCAGTTACTTTGAGCAATTAGAGGCCATCTTTTTTCTTCTTATTATGCTGATAGAAACAAATGCAAATTTTGACATTTGCTGCCAAAGATGAGTTATCACTGACTTATCTTAAATGTCAAGGTCTGGACCGCATTATTTTTTAAACTGGAAATGTAGTGCTTGATGTGGTTTAAACACCACATTTTCGAGTTAAAACTGTATCTGTGTGCGTCCTTTGTTGTTACACCTGTGTTTGTGCAAGATGCATCAGCAATGCGCCCTTGAAATGGTAAGTTGAAAACTTTGAATTTTCTCACTCCTTTTCAGGAAAATTGACCTGAACTAATAGCAAAACTGCTCATTTTAGTTGTCGGTTGCTTACCTGGCGCTGTTAAGGCCCGCAAATTTCTCCAATAATTTCGCGTGCAATTCAAATGGCACGATCGGGGTCTGGCAGATCGACGGCCTGTCCAAAAACAGCCCTTCTCTTTGTCAGCATCACACTGAAAAGCGACTTTTAATCGGAAAACTGCACTTTTCCTGTGAACACCGAAAACTCGCGCTCTCTGCACAGAGATCTACTCGAACCACGATTTTACGGCTGTCTGAAGACGGAGCGGCAGCAGGATTTTGTGCGGCAGCGCTGCCCACTTTTTCATTTCTCCTGTCGCTGAACAGGTATGGACTCGTTTTATTCCACACAAAAAATCTAACTTTCTTATTGGCGTAGACCCTGGAGCTCCAAAAGTTTATACCCACATATTGAATAATTTCTACTTAATGCACTTTTCCACAATTCTGAAGGAACAACTATACAGGGATTTCCTGCACAAAACCATACACATATGAAAGGCATAAATTTTGGGCTTATTTTATGACTAAAAGTCAATACAAACCTAATCCCTCAAGTACTTTGTTTGCGCGGAACGAAGCATTGAAGTTTCGAAATTTTGCCATTTTTTAGATTCCGCAGAACTGCAGTTTTCTAGATACAGTTGAGTTCGGATATAACGAACTTGAAAAATGAACTAAAACTGGTTCGTTATATCCGGAGTTCGCTATAAGCGAATAATAATACAAAAAGATGTGGTAAATTTTGGTTCGTTATTTTTACATAGAGTAGTAGATGTTAGTAGGTATGACTAAAAATAACACAAAAAGATAAGCAAAATTCAATTTGAAATCTACTTCATAAAGTCTGTAATTTTTGTTTGTACATTTCTGCTGCAAAAATAGATGTTATTTATGTAGTTTTCAAGATCACAAAAGGACTCCCAGATATGTTTAGGAACTTGGCGTGATTGTAGAAAATTCCGAGTTTCTGACACGTTTTTGTCATTTCAGAAATGGTTGGAACAGCATTAGTGTCTACAGTAGAATACGTTTCACCTAAATCGTCATCTTTCTCATTATCGCTTAAAGCTGTAGATGAGGTTACGGAGTCTATAATTTGCTCATCGGTCAACATTTCTCTT